TTTATAGAAATAATGTTTAATTTAGAGAAACATATTTTTAATAGAAGAAATCTTGGAAAAACCAGACCGATGAAAAAAAAATTGATTTGTTCGATTAAAATTTTTCCGCACAATTTATTTGCATGATAGATGGCACTGAATTTTATTCCCATCTATTTTATATGGAGTTAACATTCTCCGCTATGAATAATAGTGTTCTGTGATTTCGATAGGTTCTAGGGAAAAACCAAAATCATAAGTCGAAACACTGGTTCCGTGGTAGTTCGTGAGTATTAAAAAGATAGCGCTGATTTATTCTATGCTTAAACCGTGAAAATTTTTTTCGCACGACCATATCTCGTCATTTATATCGATGCCGACTGGTATTTTCCTATTGTCTTACAAAAGCTTTAGTAGCTTTCTTTTGTTTGTCAATTTATCCATACCCTATATCTACATGACCAACATTTCTTTCGCCTTTTCATAATTTGGCCTGTCAAATGTTCATCGCATCAGAAATTAGACATCATTCAATATTTTCTAACAAACTGCCCCTCCCCCCCTTGAGTTTAAGTATTTCAAATAAAAATCAAATCTATGAAGTAAGAAACATACGCGTACGGGTTATACTTAATACTATAATAGTTATCAACTAGCAAATCTTTATTAACATACTCTTTGGTCAAGAGTCATGGGTGAGGAAGACAACAATCAAACTTTCGTCGTACATATTTATGGGTAAATTATAAAATACATTTTAAATAAAGAGATAAATATGAATTAGCATTAATGAAGTAAAAAAAAAACCAATTGAAAGATTCGATTTTGTATTAGGTTATATTTTTTTGCAAAGTTATTAGAATTATAAGCGAGGTAACAGTCCACTTGATGGTTGAGTAGCTATTGCAACCCATGGAAACCCGCAACCAATTTCATATAAATATCCCACAAACACGCTGGGCACGGGCTTCCCATTTCTGAGACTGTCATGGGCAGTTCGCCGATCACCTTCAATGCCTGTTGGCGGACTTTTGTCATCGAAATATGCTTCACGACAAAGTCCGAGATAGGTGGTAGATAAATCAGTACATAAAATTGCAATTAACAATTTCATTTGTTCCAGTGGGGATCGAACCGGGGTTGCCGGCGGACTGACAATAAAGCCGTATTCGAGCGCTTTGCCCCTGTCCCACCACTGCTCTTTTGTGTCACTCGTTTTAGATGAAATGCCTGCTATAACCTGTGATGGACAAAGCAGCGACTTTTTTAGTTTCTCTATTATAGATACCACTCTAGTTGCACCATCATTCGTACTTCTATTAAAATACATGTTCCGTCGCACTACCCCTACTGGTTTCCTCGCTCGCTAATCAGAAATTTAAAGGTAAAATACCGCATAAAAATACGTTTAAAAATACAGAAATCCTATGAGTGCATTTACATTACAAATGTAAAAGGCTAGACGCTACAAAATGACATTAGTTTATACTTTTTTATAGGATAGGGTGACAAACGAGCACACAGTCCACCTGATGGTAAGTGGTTGCTGTGGCCATAGACATCTACATCTATCCTCGATTACGAATCAAAATGCAGATGTGTTGACACCCGTGAGGAGGACCAACATGGAAGTTTCCAGTAAAAAGGGTCTCCGGTTCTCTTCACTCACCATACGAAACACAGCAGCATTAAGCTACCATTTGACGCTGGTATTCTGTAAGAGCGTGGTCCTTCCCCGGTCGAGCCGGCCGAGAACACTAATTTTAGTAATAACTGCATAAGACATTAGTAAAATTAGTGTTGTTACAGGATCATGTTGCTCTGAAAAGATTGGATGTTACGAAAGGTGCAGGACCTAACAATTTGCCTCCAATCTTACTATTTAAACTGACGGACAAACTATCACTTCCTCTATCGATTATTTTAATAGGTCTCTGCGTAGTGGCAATTTTCCTCCCCTACCTGGAAAGAAACTAGGATTGTTCTCGAACATATAAACGATGATAAAAGTAACGTCGCAAATTGCAGACCAATAAAGATTTTAGTCAGTCCCAGCTAAAGTATCTGAAACTATTATTAGTCCTCATCTATCATGGTATATTTCACAAATAATCGGGAACAGCCCGCATGGCTTTCTGAAGAGTAGGTCAACTGAAACACACTTATTTAGATAAGTGAACAACCTGATAGGCTGTTGATAAGCGTGTTCAAATGGACGCCATTTACACCGACTTCAGCAAAGCATTCAATATTGTAAACCATGACATCTTAACAAGCATTTAGATGTTTGGAATCTCGGACCCCTTGCTGAGTTGGTTTAAGTCTTACTTGTCAACACAAAGCTTAAAGTAGTGTTGCGTGAATAAGTCAACGTCATACACTAGCACCATCTAGTGTCAGGAACGAGAGCGATGGGAGCTTTGCAGAAAATGACATCACAAATCTTTCAACCGACAGCGCCTAGTCGAAACTCGAACGCTCGGTACCTTGCGCGTGTTTACTTGAACATTCTGGATATTTCTTTGCTAATTTATATAAATAGGCGCTGCAAGATGCGATCGAGGCAGTGTTGATTTGGCGAGACAAGCGAAGCTTCGGAGCGGAATAAAGTGAATTAGTGTGTTTAATTATTGGTGTTTTAAGTTTTAATTTGTGTAAAGTAAATTAAAGTGTTAATTTAGGTAATTTTATCGGCAATTTTTATTGTCACGAACCTCAAGCTCGTAACAATTGGTGTCAGAAGTGGGATTAAATCATGCCGATTTTACCTAAGGAGGAAACGGAGGGTGTCCGTACCCGAAGTCAACGCCAGCAGGAGACGGACCAACGAAGATTTGGTGGTGCAACGCCGCAGACGTCGGAGGGCCAGCCACCAGCTGCAGGCCCGTCGGTAGCTCCTACATCTGCAGCACCTGACTTAGGTGCTCTGATGGTGATGCTGGAGGAACAGGCCCGTTGGTTAAAAGAGCAGCAGGAGGTACAGGCTCGCCGACAGGAGGAACAGGCTCGCCAGCAGGCGGAACAGGCACGCCGAGTGGAAGAGCAGGTGCGGGGCGGACAAGAGGAACAGGCCCGTCGGTTGGAAGAGCAGATGCTCCTCATGAAGGACCTTCACGCTACCTTCGGGAAGGAGATAAAGGAGGTGAAGGATAGGGTTGCTCAGCATGACAACCGCCTGTCAGAAGCTGAAACCCAAATCGCGAAAGCTGAAAACCGAATCGAGGAAGCTGAAACCCGAATCGACCAAGTAAACAATTGGGTTGACAACGTAATGGCGGACATGAAGAAATCACTAGACGAACTCAAACTTGGGGATGGAACTACAGCTCCCGTAGTAGCTACAGCACCTTCGCTACGTGGATTCAAAGTGCCGCCGTTCGACGGGACTTCTTCCTGGTCGGCCTACAAAATTCAGTTCGAGGCCGAATGGTCACAATTATATCCCTTATACTGCTTTTCCGGTATCCCACAGGGATCTCATCTAGGGTTGTATCTCTTCATTAATGACATTGACAAATGATTTCGGAATTCCAACATTTACATGTTCAATGATGATCTCAAGGCCACCAAGGAAATTCGTAGTTTGAGTAATTCGACCTCCCTTCAGGAGGATCTCAATAGGTTGGGCGAATAGTGTGTATATAATGAAATGACATGTAATCACATAAAGTTTACAAGAAACAAAAGCATTTACAATACAAAGTATACTCTTAACAATGAGAAACCAGAGGAAGTAACTACATTCATGAACATGAACCTACATTCATTGGTTGGGTGTCATAATGGATCGTTAACTTAATTTTGCTAACTATATTGATCTTTTAGCTTCTAAAGCATCGCAGATACTTGTTTTTGTATTAAGAGAATCCAAAAGCTTTAAAAGAACAGTAAATAAGAAAATACTTTTCAACTCTCTTAACAGGAGTAACCTTGACTATTGTAGTATAATTTGGACATCGACTTACAAAAATCACATCGATCGTATAGAAAGGATACAAAAATTATTTGTTACATCTAGCTTTCAGCTGTAACAAAGTTCCACTGAATAAAACTAAATTTACGGATTTTATCGCCTTTATTTCACTACTTTTACTTATTTTTAATTCCCGACGATAAAATCCGTAAATTTAGTTTTATTCAATGTGTAATGTTCGCGTAAATTTAAGAAATCATTAAAGATTCACTGTCTAAAAAACTGAATTCATATAAAAAAGGCTTGTTAATTTTAAGATTTCAACCCTTTGTACTAGCAGAAAGATGCTTGACTTGGTTTTCCTGCACGAAGTAATTATTGGAAACTTAAACTGCTCTGACTTTCTATCGAAATTTGTATTTAAGATTCCAAAAATATTTCCTCGTCTAGGCATTAAGCTTAGCTATACTATTCCATACCAGTCATTGCAGCACAAACCTTAAGTCACACTACTCAATATCACATCTTTACAAGGTTTATGAGGCATATTCTACTGTGCTAAATATTAACACTAGCTCTGTATCTAAAATTAAAACGACTGCGACTGTGCTTGACATTGATATCAATAATGCTGAATGAAATCTTGTTCCTGTTGTTTTGTTTTGTTTTATCTTATACTAAATGTAACTTTATATTAGTACATGCTGTGCCAACCTATAAATTCGTAGTATTAGATTATTAGTACTGATGAATTTGATTAATTGTAGTGTCACCGTTGGTCAGCCGAATAAAATAAATTGCTACTAGGCACTACAATTATTACGAAGGGAATAAAGTGTGCAAATAATTTTTAATCAGACACTAAGTAAGTAAAATGGTAAGATGAATACTCATATCTCTAGTGTAATTATAAAATCGATGTGAATACTGTTAAATTATTTTTGTTTAAGTTGTGGAATAAAGAGTTGCAGTTACTCTAAGTGATTATTAAAAAAGTTAATGTCAAACAAGTCAAACATGAAATTTTGCGTTTTTATTTTAATTGAATTATTGCAAAAATGTGACGAATTCTACGAGTACTCCCAAATACTAAAATAATTCACGTAAAATGAATAAACCTCGCCGCCTCAGTCGTCCTAAGAAATTTTTCAAGGATGTTGAAACTAAAGTAATATATGACAAAGGAAGAAAATATGACGACTTTGACGAGAGGGTTTTTCCAAACGTTTTGACAAATCGTAGCTGCTACTTCAGTCCGGATCAGAGGGATGCAGGGCAACTTACTGATTATGTAGCCAATGATGAAGTAGGTATAAACATATATTTTAGGTCATCATAAATTAATAAAGATCACAGATCACAAAAATGTTTCAAATAAGATAGTCATTAAAGCCAAAGCACTTAATAGTTTGTGTGATATAGACATTGTTCACAGATTTAATAATATAAAAATGCTATTATAGATTTCTATAATAACAGCATTCTTAACATTCTTGCTATTTTAGAATCAAAAAATATTGCAAGAACAGAACGGTTCGTGTTGCCAGTCGAAAGATATGCAAGAAATTATAAAAGAACTGAAGAATATCATACACGATATCTTACCTAAGGGCAAACGTAATTCTAAGGATGTCTTTTATAGTCTTGAAGGTATCAAAGAAGTTAGTCTAGTAAAATTGCAGGGCAATGATAATGTGAATGAATTTGATAAGTATGCTTACGAAGGATCGCATGAGCAACAAACAAAAGGTGAGTTATATAATTTATCCTCAACCTCCGACCCGCCTGCCACATACCTCTCGAGTGAATATATAGATTTGGGGGCGTGGGAAGTAGCGAGGAATTAAGACAGAGAAGTAGTGTGGCCACAATACTCGTCATGACGCACATGACGTGCGGCATGTCGAATTATTCGTTCCGCCAATCAAGCATGGCGGTTTAGGCAAATCCTCCCAAAAGCAGAGACAGGGAGAGACCCATGTTCAGCGGCAAGATATATTTTCTAGGTGGATCTATTTTTCTACCAAGATGTCCGTTTGGTTACTAAGCAACAGTGTATCTGTGTGATGTTCCGGTTTGAAAGGTTAGCCAAGATGATTACGGAATCATGACCTTCAATGTAAAAAAAGTGTAATCACATAAAGTTTACAAGAAACAAAAGCATTTACAATACAAAGTACACTCTTAACAATGAGGAACCAGAGGAAGTAAACTACATTCATGAACACTTTTACACAACTTAATTTTGCTAACTATATTGATCTTTTAGTTTCTAAAGCATCGCAGATACTTGTTTGGATTGGATTATCTTAGTAGAAACTAAGAGAATCCAAAAGCATTAAAAGAACATTAACTAAGAAAATACTTTTCAACTCTCTTAACAGGAGTAACCTTGACTATTATAGTATAATTTGGACATCGACTTACAAAAATCACATCGATCGTATAGAAAGGATACGCAATATACAAAAATTATTTGTTAAACATCTAGCTTTCGGCTGTAACAAAGTTTCACTGTCTATAAAACTGAAATCATATTAAAAAAAAACTTGTTAATTTCAAGATGTCAACCCTTTGAACTTGCAGAAAGATGCTTGACTTGATTTTCTTGCACAAAGTAGGTACTTATTGGAAACCTAAACTGACCTGACTTTCTATCGAAATTTGTATTTAAGGTTCCAAAAATATTTCCTCGTCTAGGCATTAAGCTTAGCTACACTATTCCGTACCAGTCACTGCAGCACAAACCTTAAGTCCCCATCTCCATTGACGAGGACGACGACTGAGACGACTAATCACTACGGAGTGTTTAGTTCTCATAGATGACAACCATGGCCTGCAGTAGCCAAGGAATGATTGCTCGTTATAGTACTTTATTGTTATAAGAAATAATTGTTAATCTTGGCATGAGGAAGAAAAAAAAACTAAAAAAAGATATTTATTTAGCAGTTTCATAAAATATTTAGTAACTCAGAATCCCTAATTACAATAAATAAGGTAAAACACAGTTGTAAATGAAAAATATACAAAAAAAGTAAAGCCTTTAATAATGATTTCTTATATTTACGCGAACACTATACATTGATTAAAACTACTTTTACGGATTTTATCGCGTTTTATTTATTTTTAATACCCGACGTTTCGGGTGCTTTCCAGCACCCATGGTCACGGGGGGCTGAGGTGACTGACGTCCCGATGTCAAAGTTAACCCGGAGTACCTTCAGCTTTTTAATTATTGTCTTTGGTCCGATCTACGTAGAATGAACTAACTGTGTTTTGAAGTCTTGCAGTGGTATGCTTGGGTCTAGTTTCAATTTTATTTATTATAGGATCCCAAGCAGGTGGTAGTACCCAGCCTCCTTCTCTATTGAAATTAGGATGTTTTTTAATTTCAATAGCCTCACGTATCATGGGCACGTGAGCAAATCTTTGTTACAGAGAGCACGAGGGATCTGTGACAGCAAACACCTGGCCACCGAGCTTCAGCACGTCAAGCAGGTTCTGCACGACAAGAAGCTTCGGGTCCCGCGCCTCTGTCACAGTGACAGAGTGAAGCCGGCCACAGTCGAGCGTGTGCCTGCTGTACTACCATATGTCAGAGGTGTCACAGACAAGATTGGCTACATCTTGAAGCGAGCTTCTATTAGAACATTCTACAAGCCGCCGAAGAAGATTAGTCAGTTCTTACCATCCGTCAAGTGTCATATTTCTCTACAAGATGCAGGAGTATATAAGCTTGATTGTGATTATGGTCTCTCATAATAATAGGGCAAACAAAGAGATCAATTAGAACCCGCGTAAAAGAACACATAGCTGACGTGAAGCATCAACGTTCTGGGAAGTCTGCAGTTTGCGATCATATCCTAGATGGCCCCAAACATTACATCAGATTTGATAGACCACAAATCCTCGCGAAAGAATATCGATTCCTACCAAGGATGATACGTGAGGCTATTGAAATTAAAAAACATCCTAATTTCAATAGAGAAGGAGGCTGGGTACTACCACCTGCTTGGGATCCTATAATTAATAAAATTAAAACTAGACCCAAGCATACCACTGCAAGACTTCAAAACACAGTTAGTTCATTCTGCGTAGATCGGACCAAAGACAATAATTAAAAAGCTGAAGGTACTCCGGGTTAACTTTGACATCGGGACGTCAGTCACCTCAGTCCCCCGTGACCATGGGTGCTGTAAAGCACCCGAAACGTCGGGTATTAAAAATAAATTAAACGCGATAAAATCCGTAAAAGTAGTTTTAATCAATGTAAAGCCTTAAATTTAAATAATTAAGAAATCTGTAAAATAAACTACTAACAGAAACCTGTTAATGGTAGAATACTCCAAATAGGATCGCCACTCAGGATGGTCCTGATTTTCAGTGGCAATCTAACTCCCCTGCCACACTCGTCGAGTGGCATGTGAAGTAGCGGGGAAGAGGCAGACGTAGTGTGTCCACATTCGCACGAACGCAGTTCGAATCGAGCGCTCGTTACGGAAGCATCGTTCTATTGCGATTAATAAATGTCTTCCACCATCTCCGTTGACGTGGACGACGACCTGTATTTCTTTTTTATGACGTTAATATAATTAGCTATACTAGCGCGCATGCTGCCACAGTTCCAAGTACCATTGTGTTGCAAACGCGATTGGTGCGAGTGCGGAGCGTCGCGATTAATTGCGTGTGTAAAACAGTGTGGTAACAATGAGGGTAACATCGTGGAAGCGCGAGGAGCAGGGCGACGAGCAGCGCGAAGAGCATAGTGTGGCTGAGCCATATGAAATTTTACTACAATGGCTACGATTCACAAGCAAACAAGGGATCGCGGTGGTCAACTGATGGTTTGACACATTTAGACGGCTCTCTGACGTTGGTCTGAACTTTTCTCTTCTGTTTACTGGACGAAAATGCGTCTTAGTAGGGAGTTAATCCCTACAACGTAGAGAATAATACCGCCAATTTTGAAATTGAATTTTATTACGTGGTAGAGCCATGCTGCAACTATATTTGAAACAGAAACTTTTTATTACATATATATTTGATTATAAATAATACTAGTAATTTTTTCATTTACCACTGGTTCGCAAAAAAAACCTCTTGTCCTGGGAAGAAACAGCAAGATACCCAGCGGGATTATATTTTTTTTAAATAATTGCTTACAATCATGTACTCGTATGTTACAATTAACAATACAAAACAAATTAGAAATAGCTTGGCAACGATCACCCTTCCCAGGGGTTATTATCATCCATAAATACCTTAATATTATAATAACCCTTTTATATATAAACTTAGTTTAATAAAGTTTTTTAACTTTTTGTATATCAAATTTTGTATACTTTCTGGGATTTTGTTGCAAAAGCGTATAAATCGCCCCAAGAATGAATTACTGACTCGGTGGAGTCGAGTAACTGGTACTACTAGCTAATATCACTTATTTTTGCGTTGATAGTATAATTATGGCAGGAATGGGTCGGCTCGACCGGGGAAGAACCATGCTCTCACAGAATACAAACGTAGAATAGCAACTTAACGTTGTCGTGTTTCGTATTGTGAGTGTAGAGAACCGGAGAAGCTTTTTACTGGAAACGAGGCTTTCCATCTTAGTCCTCACGGGTGACAACGCATGTGCATTTTAATTAGTAACCGAAGATAAATGTAGATGTCTATGAGCCACAGCAAACACCATCATGTGGACTGTGTGCTCGTTTATTACCCTTATCCTATAAAAAATGAGCATAGGAATCACGAGATCGTATCTAAAGTATCTCTACCATTGACACTTCCCCGTCGCTGGTTTATGTATTTTTCATTTGGCATATTATATAAGATAGAAGTAGGCAAGTTTGTCTACCAAATTGGCGGCCTGCTGAATGGGGCCAAAATTAAGAGGCGAGAGGTGTGTCAGGATCGTGCCAAATGGAAGGGTGCAGTCTCTGCCTACCCCTCTGGGTGACAGGCGTGAGTGCTTATGTATGTACGTATAGTAGTAGGGTAATACCTAAATATAAACAGATCTATAAATGAAGTAAAAATTTAGTTTCTTTCCATGTTTTAGGGCAATCTAAGGACTATCAAAAAAAAGTTTACATTTCTGATGAACCACACATTAAAGTCATCGCTGAAAAATTTTCTCGATACAAAAACAACAACGTTGAATTAAGAAAATTAAAAGAACGCGTAGTTTGCATTGAATACGATGTTTATATCCAAGGCGAAGAATCGAACTCCGAGCCGTTTCAGAAATTAAGAGCATACTTTTCTGTTAAACCGGTTTCTGAAAATGAAGATGGTATGTTGTGTTACTTGTTTTTACGATAAACAACTGAACTTAAAAAATCTATCGAGGAGGCCTATATTCATTAGTGGGCTTTTGATAGGCTATAATATTGATGATGATGAAATACATGCAATATAATAAAACCGTGTGGTAGCGGCGTAACATAATCAAAATATGCTGTTGTAAGAGACGACTGAACTGGCTCGAACCGGGGTGGTACCTCGACCTCACAGAATACCAGCGTGAAGTAAAAATTTACTTTGGCGTTTCGCTTAGTAAGTGCAGGTGGCCGGAGGCCCAATCCCCCCTCCCTTAACATGGTAGCGGAATAAATAAAAAATACTCCAGGGTACCAGCACCCCTGATGACGTAGAATCCCTCGCTGAGCATCCAAGAACAAATTATCCTATTCGTATTCGGGGCAAGCGGAGCAACAACACCAAGGCGAATCCTACCACACTTTCCGTGAATTCTTGCAACTTCAAGGGATTTCGTCCAAACTTAACGCTGTCTAGTACCATCCCTGCGCCTACGGGTGCCTATTAGGTCCCATAGCGGTAATGCCGAAACAGACCGACTCATCGACCACGTCCAAATGACTACAGATTCCGTGCTACAGCAGATTCCATATTCCCATTTTTATAGGATAGGGTGACAAATGAGCACACAGTCCACCTGATGGTAAGTGGTTGCTGTGGCCCATAGACATCTACATCTATCCTCGATTACGAATCAAAATGCAGATGCGTTATCACCAATGAGAACTAAGATGGAATGCCTCGCTTCCAGTAAAAAGGGTCTCCGGTTCTCTACACTCACCATACAAAACACCGCAGCGTTAGGCTACTAATTAACGCTGGTATTCTTGAGAGCGTGGCCCTTCCCCGGTCGAGCCGAACCATTCCTGCTACAACTATACTACTAATATAACTGCAGCATGGCTCTACCACGTAAAACCATACCCTGAACCATACCATATCCGCAGAGATCGTGATCCTTGGCGATTATAACGCCCACCATGCCGAATGGCTCAGTTCACGTTTAGCCGATCATGCGGGGAGATCTGTTTATGACTTTGCCTTGGCATATGGTCTGACACAATTGGTTACTTCGCCTACGCGGATCCCAGATGTGGAAGATCATACACCTTCCCTGTTGGACCTTCTGCTGACGTCTCATCCGAACGGATATCAGGTTTCCGTCAAAGCCCCTCTAGGCTCGTCAGATCATTGTCTTGTCAGGAATGTGTTGCCAGTTGCCAGAAACGCGGTTGCATTCTGCAGGCTACCGCCGTGTTTGGCACTAAAGGTCGGCCGATTGGGATAGGATGCGGTCTTTTTTTGCATCCTACCCTTGGAGGCGGGTTTGCTTCTCGCCGGACGATCCCAGCGTTGTTGCTGATGTGGTACTTCAGGGTATGGAACTATTTATTATATAGTGGTGCCCATCGGAGGCAGATGCAAGCAATGGTTTGGTCGCTCCTGTAAAATAGCATCACGCTATAAGCAGGAGTGCGCTACCGGGCCTGGGCTGACGCATCAACGTCTCGGGATGTAAACTCCAGCGCTCTTAAAAAGAGTAATTGCCAAGTCAAGGTCTGAGCACATCGGCAGAATTGGCGATAAGCTAGTTCGCTTTTCTTCGAGAACCCGTGCATTCTGGTCTCTCGCCAAGGCTGTCCAAGGGAATATCTGTCAGTCATCTCTTCCATCTGTACATAGAGGACGACTCACTGACTCATGCCGCAAAGGAGAAAACCGATCTGTTAGGCTCTCTGCGTTCAATTCAACGCTCGATGACGGGGGGCACACACCGCCGACCATCCCGCGGTGTGAATGCTTCATGCCGGACGTGCGGTTTATACAGCGCTCCGTTCGCAAAGCACTCCTCTCCTTGGACGTCAGCAAGTCGAGTGGGCCTTATAGAGTTCCTCCCATTGTGTTGAAGACGTGTGCTCCGGAGTTGGCACCGGTTTTAACGCGTATTTTCCAGTACTCCTACTCTCAAGGCGTAGTCCCAAATTCATGGAAGACAGCTTTCGTCCATCTCATTCCTAAAAAAGGCAACCGCTCAGACCCGTTAACTACGGACCTATCGCCATCACCTTCTTGTTCTACAAAATAATGGAGTCCATTATAAACTGCCAGCTCGTGAGGTACCTTGAGGATCACCAGCTGATTAGTGACCACCAATACGGTTTTCGTCGTGGTCAATCAGCTGGTGATCTTCTGGTCTAATTGACTTATAGATGGGCGGAGGCAGTAGAGTCCAAGGCATTGATCATTAGTTTGAACATAACGAAGGCCTTTAGATCGGGTCTGGTACAAAGCGCTTTTTTCGAAGCTACCTTCATATGGGCTTCCCGAGAAATTGTGCGTCAGTGCGAAAAAGAGGTCGTGGTAGACGGTGCATGTTCTGATTACAAGCCTATTAACGCTGGTGTTCCACAAGGCTGTGTGCTATCACCAACACTTTTTCTTCTTCATACCAATGATACGTTGCAAACTGGTGACATTCATTGCTATGACAGACAGATTCAGTGCTATGACGACAGCACTGTTGATGCCTTATACAACCGGCCGTGCCAATATTTCTCATAAAAACGTCGCCGAGTACCGGTACAAACATGTGTCTGAAGTCGAGTTTTTGCTGAACAAAGTCTCGGATTGAGGGTGACTAAATCTAGTTCTGTTCAATCCCCAGAAGACACAAGTTTGCGCGTTTACCGCTAAAAAGAACCCCTTTGTCGTATCTCCTCAGTTTCAAGGCGAAGTGCCTTGCTGCCTCAGCTGGCATCGGAATCCTCGGCGTCGATATTTCGAATTGTGTGCAGTTTCGTGGTCACTTGGAGGGGAAGGCCAAATAGACCTCTAAAAAAGCCTGGCGTGCGCAACAGAGCGAGACAGTATTTCATGCCGGCACATTTACTGCAACCTTACAAAGCACACGTTCGGCCTCACATGGAATACTGTTCTGATCTCTGGGCCGGGCACCCCAGTGCCAGCTCCTTTCACTTGACCGCATCCAGCGTAGAGCGGTTCGAATCGTCGATAACTGAGTTCTTTCTTATCGGCTTGATTCACTGACGCAGCGTAGGGACGTTGCATCCTTTTGCATTTTCTATCGCATCTGTGTTGTAAGGAATTGTTCGGATTAATCCCAGCCGCCAAATTTTATGAAAGTACATCGCGTCAAAACTCAAGATACCATCCTCACCATCTGGATGCTTGGCGGTCCACCACTGCGCTTTTTACTAGTTTTCTTCCTTGTACAACTTTTCTGTGGAATTGCTTACCACCGGCGATTTTCCCGGACCGATACGACTTGGGACCTTTAAGAAAATAGCTTACTCAGTTTTAAAGGGGCGGCAACGCACCTGCAATTCCCCTGGTGTTGCGGTCATGGGAGGCGGTAGTCACTTACCATCAGGTGAGCCGCATGCTCACTAAATGCTTCAATAAAAAAATTACAGTCTTTAAAACTCCACTACTAAAAACAGGCCTCCTCCATAGATTAATCTCCCTACGATTTTGTCAGTTTCGCGCTTGGCAACCGCAGTTTTCGATTATTTAGAGTTGTTATCAGGAAGATGCTGTCGCCTATACATGATTTCAAATTCCTCTGCTGCCCCCTACGGCACCCACGGGATTATATAATGTGGTAGTGGACTAACGCCGCCACTATACGTCTAATAATGTATAATACCAAACTACGTATTTACTCGATTGGGGACTTTTTGCAAGGCCACAGTCGTATAACCAAACAAAAAATAAATCATGCGGCTAGTTATGTAAAATACCTGCTAATCGCAATAGCAATAAAAGTTTATAGACATTCGTAATATTTGTATGAACTTTATATCGTCATCAAAACAGAAGTTTGTTGTCATTATAAAAATTATATCATCTCCGATTCGATTATTGGTTTTTAGACACGATTCCGAAAATTCCATCTGCTGCTAAACGACACTGTGATATAGCTGATGAAGATTTTAAAAACGTTTGTGAAGGAATCGAAATGATCGACGCCAACATACCAGAAAATAAATCATATCTCGAAGGCCTTAAAAATGTTCTCAAACGTCAACAAACTATTAAAATTAAAAAGAACAAGGCTTTTAATCCCATGTATTTGTATCAAATGGCCAAAAGGGATAATCTCCTTTCAATCGACTATTCGTGTACGGATTTTTTCTCGAAGGCCGAATTGGATGAAATAAAAGATTTGATTATGAAGAAAACCACTTCCAGTGCACATGGCATAAGTAGAAGAAAATTGAGACCAGAAAAAGATGACACTAAGATAAAAGAAGGAAATGAAGAAGTAAAGAAAACTATAATCGAAGATCTCTTTAGAGACATTCAGCTTTAAAGAAAAAAAAATGTTTTCAATAGCCGTTTTTTATTTAACAATCTTTAACATTTTAATAAATGTGGATCGAACTTTATACAAAAAGTCAGTTCATGTTTCAAACACCTGTTATTTTCCATTTTGCGTTTTGTTATGTACCATTTCTGGATTAAGCGCCGGGTCCAGTCCAAGTTTCTTCATTTCTACTGCCATCTCAAATAAGTAATCGTAGCATTCGGTCCTAGAAGTTAAAATATGTAACTTATGTTTGCACAGAAAAATCAAAGGCAAACCTTAAGAAAGAGTATCCATCAACGTATTTTGTCCCATGGGTTATAAGTGACTATAGGCAGTGAAAAGGTTTGATTTTCCGACAAATGGCTGTCTTATCTTTCTATCATTATCGACGATACTAAAGGCTAATTTAAAAAAGAAATCAGAACAAGGACAACAACATGGCAAGAAACATGATAGACAATGATTAGACAATTGGTAGAGCCATGCTGCAGTTATATTAGTAGTATAGTTGCAGCACAAATGGATCGACCCGGGGAAGGACCACATTCTCACAGAATACCAGCGTGAAATAGTAGCTGAATGCTGCTGTGTTTCGTATTGTAAGTGTAGAGAACCAAGACCCTTTTTACTGGAAATGGGGCATTCTATCTTAGTCCTCATGGGTGACACACAACGCATCTGCATTTTGATTCCTAATCAAGGATAGATATAGATGTCTCTGGGCCACAGCATCCACTTATCATCTGGTGGACTGTGTGCTCATTTGTCACCCTATCCTATAAAAAAAGAAGATCAAAAGACAATATTTTTCATCTTTATCACACTGTTACAGACCACAGTTGGACACGGACCTTTCCCAATGTACGGAAGATTAGTCATAATCATTCTACTTGGCAAATGGATTGGTAGTCGCAGTAGCAGACATCTCGCACTCTTGACGCTGCTGCCCGTCGCCGGATTGAGTTTTTTTTTATAGTGCGACAAAACGAGCACACAGTCCACCTGATGGTAAGTGGCCTGTGGCCCATAGACATTCACATTTATCTTCAACTAAAGATCAAAATGATGTGTTACACCTGAGGACTAAGATGGAATGTCTCGAAAAAAGGTTACCGGTTCTCTACACTCACCATACAAAACACAGCAGCATTATGCTGCTATTTTACGCTGAAATTCTATGAGGGCGTGGTCCTGCCTCGGTCGAGCCGACCCATTCATGCTACAAATACCTCGGGAGGTTTTTCTAGCCTTTCCCATAGACGGCTCTTACGACACACTCACTCGATGAAATGGGGTTAATGGATTTTTCCACGCTAAGGCAACTTACCTATATCTGTTTTTAAGAAAAAGATTTTAATAAATCTACAAATTGCACTAAAATTGTAATATCAAATGCTTGTGAAAATTCCTAAGATGTTGAGCGATTTCATGGAAAACAGTTGTCTAATAACTGATAAACAAGGCTTCAGAGGTTTCTTATACATTTCAAAATGGGACAAGTAGATGACCTACCCACGCGGATTCACAAAGCTGCTATACTATAAGGATAAAAAAACTACAAAATAGGTTTATAGAGTTCAACCTTTTAAAGGCCATTTTGCGATAGTTTTTTTTTTTAGAATAAGGGTGACAAACGAGCACACAGCCCACTTGATGGTAAGTGGATGCTGTGGCCTATAGACATCTAAATCTATCCTCGATTAAGAATCAAAACGTAGATGCGTAGTCACCACTGAGGATTAAGATGCAATTACTCGTTTCCAGTAAAAAATAGTCTCTGGATCTCTACACTCATCATACGAAACACGCGCACCACGGGCGAGGGGAACAGCTGCACGAGCGCCAAGGCGGCCGCGCCCACACCCACCACGCTGCACACCGCCAGCACCGTGCGCGTCCATAAGTTGCTATTTTACACTGGTATTCCGTGAGAGCGTGGTCCTTCCCCGGTCGAGCTAACCCAATATCTATTAAAATCTATTAAATTACACTGCTGAACATAGACCTCCTTCATAGTTGGCACACTTGGCAGATGGGTTGGCAACTGCAGTTTATTTTAAGTTCTTATCAGGACAATGCTGCTGCCCGTCTCCTGTTTCAGTTTCCCCTGTGGCCGAGCCGTTATGGGGTGGTAGATATTCTTATACCGCCATTACACAATCTATACATACAGTACCTTTACAGGAGAATAAATATAAGTAAAATACTCACATAGTTTTTGCTTGCTGCCATGTATCGCCCCACACATACACTCCGTGTCTACGGACCAGTACTGCACTTGTGCCAGGATATTTTCTTATAGCTTCACCAAGGCTACCCGCTAGATCTTTCTCGAATGGCGTGTTTTCAATAATAGGAACGACTAATTTCTCATCGTATCGCAAGTAGCGCCCCAGTTGGGCATCTTTTACACCCTGCAAATGATTAGTAAAACATTAGCAGCCTTACTGATAAAAATCTATGTTAATTTAAGAAATTTGATTTAAGTCCTTTCTATTTTTTCACTAAATAACAAAAGAAGGAGACAAGTATATAGATAATTAATACTTAATTTAATTCAGCTATAGTCAACGATTCTAAGTAAGTCTATCAATCCTTCAATAAAGCCAATTTTTTTGGATTCTTTCACATTTCATAAAAAAAAAAAAACTATCATCCCGTCTCCTCTTGCCGATGCCAAAGAGTTGTACTATAGGAAAAGTCAGTATGATCACATGGTTTTATTGCCATATATCAGAATAGATGTCGTTATAACTTTTCGCATCCTTGAAGCAGCTCCCTATCGCCGTTTTGGGTATTTTATCTGGCTTATACTAGGTGCTATCGTTAAAAATCAAAAACCGAGAGATTATCTTTTTATTAAATTGAAGTGATAAACTAACTTATAGTTCACCTGATGGTAAATGGCTACTGCAGCTCATGAACAACAACGAAAGCTACAGACGCGTTATTACCTCTGAGGAATAATGTGTAATACCTCACAGTCCTGTAACTATACTGACTCTCTATTAAAGTTCTTCAAAAGGACTATAAATCAATAGCACGCTACATACTACATATAAACTATAAATTTCTAGCGCGCTATTAAATATGCTATGTTATAGCGCGCTATTTATAAGAAAGTGTATAGAGACGCCGGCAAGCGCGTTAAGTTTAGCAGCACGCTATATCTCGGAGCACGCTACATTACGTGTCGTTCATTGAATAGACCGCGTGCTATTTATTATAAGAACATTATTTCGTAATAGGTCGCATTTTATATTAAAATAAAATAAATCGGTAAAGAGAAATCAATGAACGCTCTTTCAAACTTTTCAGGCTTATGACTTTCTATAATCCTAAAAATATTTTTAAGGCATATACTTTTTAAAACAAAATAAAATTAGTAATTTTTATTATAGTTTATGTAAACGTTATTTTAACCTTAATATAAATTATAAATCAATTAAAGGGGTATTTAAAAGTTTATTGATTGTATTTACAAAAATCAACTATTTACAAACACTATTATATTTTTCACTTTTGTATTTATATTTTATTTACATTTAAAAACATTAGTTAGGCTTCTTTTGTAGCAGACAACTGTGTCCTTTGATCACATGTAAATATACAGTATACACTAACTAAACAACGTCTAACAATAAATAGTTCGCGCGCGATGAATAGCGTGCTGCTAGATTAAATTTGCATCACACGTCTACTCCCAACAGCGCTGCTGCTAGAACTAATTGCCACTCGATATGAATAGCGCCAAAGCGTCATAGCGCCATGGCGACTACTTACATAGCACGCGCTATGCGTTATGGAGAGATAGCGCGCTATAACATGGCGCTATGCGCTATATTAACCACCATTACTCTCTATAGCCTGCAGACCGGAACAAAACAGTTCAAACACTGCTGTTTGATAGCAGAAATATATAAAATGAGGCAGATAATTTTATATGTGGTAGAGCTATGCTGCAGCTATGTTATGTTTGTAGCATGAATGGGTCGGCTCGACCGGGGAAGGACGCTCTCCCAGAATATCAGCGTAAAATAGCAGCTTAATACTGCTGCTTCATATGGTAATTCTTAATCGAGGATAAATGTCTATTTGCCACAGCATCCACTCACCATTAGGTGGACAGTGTGTTCGTTTGTTACTATTATTCTATATGGACTTCTAGGCAAAAAGGGGTCCCACCGCCTTGTTCCCTTTCCTAGCATTTCCTTTAGTCGTCTCTAACAATATCAATGGGACAAAACGGGTGGTGGATTCTCTTATGATGCTACAAAACGGCGGCTTTCATTCTTACCTTGATCATCTCCTGATGTGTGATTACAAACTCCTTGTCATACAATAGCGTGCAACGAACTGCGTGCGGCGAATGTGTATGTATGACAGCGCCGGCGTTGCGTTCCCGATACGCTAACATAAATAGAGGTGTGCATTGACTCTTCTTGAGCCTAAAATAAGAAAATTGAATCAGGTCTTTGGGATCTCAGGTCTTCAATAAAATCCAAGTGACAGTCCACATTTGTTCCATTGCTGAACACAAGTCACCTTCCACCCTGAGAGGGTTTGAGGGCAAGGAAGGGTTCAGATTAAATACATTATTGGTTATCGGATTAGTCTGAAATTCAATCTGTAGGTTTAAGACTTTTCTATCCCCTTATTGATATTAAGATAAAATATTGATACTGACAGATTAATTTTTAGTAAAATTAAAAAAAAATTTGAAATAATACAACAGTAAAACTTCTGTGTTAGTAATCTATAAAATAAATAATTATACATATATTATTAGACCAATTTTGTAATGTCAACGTCTAAAGTGCTAAAAGGCGAACACTAACTCATTAGACAGTTAAATGAATTTTCTTAATAACATGATTTGGCGGAGTAAAAGAATTCACTATCTCATATTTTCCCGTGGGTGTAGTAAGAGATGACAGAGCCAACAACTCAAATGCTAACCTCACCTACAAGCGGTGACGGTACTCTGCTGATAGATGAACAAGGCTTTTGCGAGTGATTGGATGGCAAAAATCGAATATCCATCCATCTATCCCTTACAGCCTATGAAAGTCTGCTGCTGAACATAGGTCTCTCCCATAGATTGCCTCATAGGGGGGATTTTGCTTCATAGGGTTGATCCAATATCAATTATTATACGTGGTAGAGCCATGCTGCAGCTATATTATGGTTGTAGCACGAATAGTTCGGCTCGACCAGGGAAGCAACCTTTATGCCGCTGTGTTTTGAATGGTGAGTGTAGAGCTGGAGACCCTTTTTACAGGAAATGAGGCATGCCATCTTAGTTCTTAGGTGGCAATGCATCTGCATTTTGATTTCTAATCGATTTATGAGCCACAGGAACCACTTAACATCAGGTAGACTGTGTGCTCATGTGTCACCCTTATTCCATATTTTAAAAAAACTATGGAACTAAATTTCAAGATAGGCAGGTAATGGGGAGCATTATCAGAGTGAGGGTCTGCTTTTAGTCTGCCTTTTACCAATGTTAACAAAATTTTTCATTCTTGCTTACATCAAGCTGTAGATTATTAGAAAGCCAGTTGATATGTGAAGCGTGCAGTAAGAATATAGTAACACAGCCTTACTTTTTTTCTGGTGGAGGTAGTTCTAAATCTTCGTCATGAATAGTCTGCACAAATAAATCATCAGGTTTCATTCTCTCTTTCTGAACTCCAGATGGTGCAATGTAGATTTTTTCTCTGGAACAAAATAATAAAACTAAGTGATATTTTACACAAAATATGTTTTTTACTAATTTATTTCTGGTAATATAATAGCCACCATCACCATCATCATTACACCCCTTCACAAGTCCATTGCTGAATATAGGCCTCCTCAAGGAATGCCACACAGAAGCGCAATCCTGAGCCACATGCATAAATATAGCATATCAACGTAATGTACATAGTTCAGTGTAGTTATTATGTTATAAAACATAATAATTACACTGAAATAATAACATTCTAAAACATTTGGGAAAACTATAAACATCTGGTACTTGCATACATGGGCGGGAGGGGGAATGGCTGGATTTAGGGGAATCCCCCGTACCCTTCCCCTTAGCAGAAATGAATATTTTATGAGTAATGATTTTGTTTTGACAAATCATAACATCACTTTTTACACAGAATATTGAACCATAGTTACTTCTGCAACAGCTGCAGCGCTGCGGGAAGTGCAGCCCCTTCGCCCTTGGGTAGAAAATCGCCCTCGCCTCTACCTCTGCACCTATGGCTTTACAAAAACACTAGGGGTAGGGCAGACAAAACTTCATGAAGTCGGGGTTCAGTTTTAGACCAAATTCGATGAATCTTATCTATAAAACCAGGTTGCCCTAAGCTCTGCTATGATAGTGGTAAATGAAACAAGGTTATTTGAATTGTTATAATTTTGTTTTCTGAAAAATTTCTTGAAAGCTCTCTATTGTAATTAAATTTTGTTGTAATATGAGTGCTGTTTTCAGCCACAAATGGATCTGGGTCTGAGTGATTAACTTTTTTATGGGTGTATCAGTGTTAAAAAAATACAAATTCACATATTTGCATTTAGCTATAAGCAATTTTTAGAGGAATTCATTTTTATCGTAATTAATTCAAAACACATTTCTGTGTGTGTGTGTGTGTGTGTGTGTGTGTGTATATAGCTATAGTCAACTCAAATCTTTTTTACTCCAGGGTTTAGTGAAATGTAGTTTAAAATGAAAAAATTATGATTAATAGAGGTCTCGATTGCAAAATATTGGTCAAAAATAGTTTTGACTAAGACTGTCAATTAAAAATAACTTTTGATAAAAACATTCGCTGCCAATCAATTTTAAAGCGAACTAGTTTTTCTAACTAAACTAGTGACTACAGCTGCATGGAGCCTGCTTCAAACAAAAAGGGCCACAGATGTTTTGTCACTTTTATGGAATAAGACGAAATACCTCTTCTTGGCCATTAAGGCCATTAGAGCAATATATGATTTAAATCCTAAAGAGTTGTTCAGACAAAAATTTAAGGAAATTAATATATTAACTTTGACCTCTCAATACATTTATGAAAATGTAATGTACATACACAAAAATAAAAGAAGTTTTGCAAAGATAAATGATATTCATTCTATAAATACGAGGAACAGACACAAACTACTAGTACCAGTTACTCAACTCCACCGAGTCAGTAATTCATTCTTAGAACGATGTACGCTTTTACAACAAAATCCCAGAAAATATACGAAATTTGACATACACAAAACTTTATTTAACTAAGTGTGTATAAAAACAGTTATTATAATATTAAGGAACTTATGGATGATAGACCCTGGGAAGGGTGATCGCTACCAAGCTATTTCTAATTTGTTTTGTGTTGTTAATAGTAACATACATGATTATAAGCTGTTATTTTTTTTAAATAATTCCACTGGGTTTCTTGGTGGTTCTTCCCAGGACATGCTTTTTTTGCAAACAGTAATAAATGGGAAAAAAGTGACTTTTAATAAGTATTACTAATAGTCCATATTGAATAAAAAAGTTTCTATTTCTGTGTCACAGCATGTAAATATACTGGCTCTGTATACCCGTTAGAATCAGAACACAGCAGGGCAAGCACTGCCAATTTTTATTTCAGCTTACTAAAGATCCACAAATATGCTATGCTATGTAACAGGCCAGAATAATAAAATTATTATATTACTACTCTTAACTTTGATGTTAACAAACAATATAAAAATATGTTCAAAGCTAAGCTCATCATCATTATTACAAACTATTACAAGTTCACTACTGGATTTGGGCCTCCACCTAAACAATGCCACAAAGCATGATCCTGAGCCACCTTCATCTATCAATTTTCTGTATCTTTTATGAAGTTGTCACTATATCTGTATTTTGCCTACTAGTATGACTCTTATCTGGTTGAGCCACGCTGCAGGTATATTATGGATGTAGCATGAAAGGGTCAGCTCGACCGGGGAAGGACCACACTCTCACAGAATACGGGCATAAAATAGCAGCTTGATGCTGCTGTGTTTTGTATGGTGAGTGTAGAGAATTGGAGACCAGTTTTACTGGAATCAAGGTTAATTGTAGATGTCTATGGGCCAAAGGATCCACTTACCATCAGGTGGACTAAGTGCTTGTTTGTTACTCTAAATCTATATCAAAAAAAAACTTTGTGAACCTTTTTTAGCCTAACATATACAACACAGTTAAATAATATAAGCGACGATAGCCTAATGGCCGGAGCGCGTACGGCAAACTCAAAAAGGTTGTGGGTTTGAATCCGCCATTCGACTACTGGCGTGAACCACTTGTAACACAAGCAATTTAAGCTTATCACGATTGGTTAAGGGGAATATTAGTAATGTTTATAGCATTGTTAATATTCTTTTTAAAAAAATAGTTAAATAGAGACTACTTAAATTAAAGAAAGATCTCACAATATTTTAATCACTAATAAAAAATAATTTGTATAATAGCATACGAAGGCACTAAAGTATTACATATCAAGTATGTCAAGAATAAATTTAAGAAAATATATAAGAAAACCCACCCTTCTTTTATAGATATCCCACCACCTGTTCCTGTGACCCATCCCAAATGGTAGAATTGTTTACAGAGTTCTGGTATAAGATTTCTAGGATGTTCCTGAAAATAATATAAGTTTTCTTGTAATAGTATTGTCATAAAACATAATTTATATTATGTTAAAAGTTGCCAACCTGCTTGCCAAGCATGGCTACTATGGCAAATATCTCCCCCATGATACAATTTATGGCAGACGCCCATGTTCAGCAGTGGATTTTGAGAGGCTGTAACTGAACGGTAAGAAGCAACTTGTGAGATAAGTTTAGTTAAAATTACTAAAACCATAGAAGAAACAAAATGATAATATATACTTTAGAGCAATATACTTTAGTTTTATGTAGCGGCGGTGTTTAAGAATCCGCTATACAATAATATATTCCCATGAGTGTCGTAAGAGGCGATAGCGGGTATTGAAGCAGATGACTAGCAGCATCTTCCAGATGGCAATTCAAAACAATAAGAAACTGCCGTCAGCAAAACAGCCTGTCAAGCATTCCAAGTGTTCCAAATTATGACACTATAAGGCAATTTTTATCTTTAGTCTTTTGATAGGCTGAAATGATTGAACGAAAAATATTTTACTAATCTAACTTATTTAAAATACTGGTTTTCAGCTACAAAGCGCTATATTACCTACCGCACTGATTTCGGCTTGAGCCATCATTTTAGTCGGTATTAGATGGTTTCTATTGTAATGGAAGGACGTAGAACATTTTCTTATCACAATGTTATTCTTAATGTACGTCTTCTTTATTTACGTTCTTTTATCAATATAATTTACTATTAGGGGTCAAATAACGCAATAGGTGAACAATCTTACTTTGTCTTACAAGTTATAGTTTATTTTCAAATCATTTCAAATTATACTATTTATATTTGTTTCGTGACCATAGATAAATAAATATGTAGCAAGTTCGTGACTGATGTTTGACGTAAATAACTTTTTTTATTAACTGGCTTTACGACTCTGGGTTCTAGCCCTTCTGAGCCTATCATTTCTTTCTGAATCTTCATTTTAATATTTTTTCTTCAAAATATGCTGATTGAAATTGATGAAAATTTCCCAAGGGTTTCGCAATATGACGCACATTGCGAAATCCTTGGGAAATTTTGACGACAGCTCAACCCAGCGGATAGTTGATGACGACAGCCACTCAAGTTCATAAGGCGCCCAAGCGATCAAAATAACTTGAGGTTTATATCGACATCAAAGCACTTGTTTCGACGTTTTTACTAATATTTCACACGCGCGGACGCTTAATTCACAAAATCGCATCACTTTTACGAATCAAAATTCACTTAAAACCATTATTCAAGCGACAAAACAGGAGCATCCGTCTACGGCCAAGTTCGCGCCAAAACTCCACGTAAATAATTACAATATAAACCGATACTGAAAAATAATGAACTGAGTAACACACGCGCGTGCTCACAGGTTTTGTATGAAAATGTTCCCAATGTCCGCTCTATAGTATATGTATATTTAAATCTCTTTGTGTATAACCTTCTGAAGCACCGCTGGATGCCCTCGTGTGAGACGCGTGGTTCTGTGTGCTAGGATACTATAAATTCCATAGCATTTGATATTGAGGGCTTAATAACGTGGTTCATCACGTTGTAGAGAAGGAAGGGAATCTCGTGACTAAGTAATAGCTGCGCGGATCAATAGATATCTGCGGGAAAAAGGTGTACTTGTCGCGGTCAATCAGTGGATGAGTGACCGTTTTCTTAAAATTCATATAATATACATATAACATATATTTAAAAAAATAAAGAGTGCATATGTATCCTCAGATACTTAGTGCACTTTAATATCTCCTGCGTATTTGGCAGCTAAAATTATAATAAGTTTATTAATACTTTATATTGTTACGCGCTCAACGTCATACACTAGCGCCATCTAGTGTCAGGAACGAGAGCGAGGGGAGCTTTGCAGAAAATGACATCACAAATCTTTACCGACAGCGCCATCCGAAGAACTAAGTTTCTAGAAAATCTACACTCGAACACTCGTCGCTTTGCGCGCATTTACTTGAATATTCCGGATGCTTCATTGCTAATTTGTATATATAGGCGCTGCAAGATGCGATCGGGGCAGTGTTGATTTGGCGAGACAAGCGAAGCTTCGGAGCGGAATAAAGTGAATTAGTGTGTTTAATTATTAGTGTTTTAAGTTTTAATTTGTGTAAAGTAAATTAAAGTGTTAATTTAGGTAATTTTATCGGCAATTTTTATTGTCACGAACCTCAAGCTCGTAACAATATGTACAGATACAGATGATAGATAGAGTAGCTTAGACAGAGCAATCTTATTTAACTGATTCCTACGAGTTTCCCATCTTAAATTTTTATTTTTATTTTAAAATTCATATTTAATCGACATGTTAAAATATATTACTTCTATAATGTATTTAATTGTTAATTATTATATTTTTGTATTTATTAAAAGTAATAATTAAAATATGAAAAAAGCGGCCTTAACTTAACTTTTTATATTTTAATAAATAATTTATTACTTTGCAACCTTCCGCTACCCAATCACAATGATGTGTCTTACCTGGATTTAAGAGCACCTCCTGCCCTCAGTAACTCGGTCACCACTAGTCCCAGCACCACTACTCCCGGCACCACTACTTCCAACACCTCACAATCACAAACGTCTCCGAGTGCCGGGACAAACCAGTGTCTGAAGTCGAGTCTTTGCTGAACAAAGTCTCAGATTGGAGGCAACTAAATCTAGTCTCGTTTAATCCCCAGAAGACACAAATTTGCGCTTTACCGCTAAAAAAAACCCCTTTGTCGTATCTTTTCAGTTTTAAGGTACTCCCCTTGTTGCCTCAGCCAGTATCGGAATCCTCGGCGTCGACATATCGAGTGACGTGCAGTTTCGTGGTCACTTGGAAGAGAAGGCCAAATTGGCCTCTAAAAAGCTTGGCGGGCTCAGCAGAGCGGGATAGTATTTCATGCCGGCACACCGCCTGCAACTTTATAAGACGCAGGTTCGGCCGCACATGGAATACTGTTCATATCTCTGGGCTGGGGCTCCCCAGTACCAGCTCCTTCCACTTGACCGCATCCAGCGCAGAGCGGCTCGAATCGTCGACGACCGAGTGCTTTCCGATCGGCTCGATTCACTGGCACTGCGAAGAGATGTTGCATCTCTTTGCATTTTCTTTCACATATACCATGGAGAGTGCTCTGAGGAATTGTTCGGATTAATCCCAGCCGCCAAATTTCTTGAACGCACTACGCGGCAAACGTCCCGATACCATCCACACCATCTGGATGCTTGGCGGTCCACCACTGTACGTTTCAAGAGGAGTTTTCTTCCGCGTACAACCCCTCTGTGGAATAGTTTACCACCAGCGATTTTTCCGGACCGATACGCGACCTGGGGACCTTCAAGAAAAGAGCTTACTCCTTTCCAAAGGGCCGGCAATGCACCTGCAATTCCCCTGGTGTTGCGGTAGATCATGGGCGGCGGTAGTCACTTAACATCAGGTGAGCCGCATGCTCGTTTGCCCCCTCTTCTATAAAAAAAAACACTATTCCAGGTAAGACACACCATCGACGACAATACGACAAGTGTTTCGCCTCTACTCGAGGCATCCTCAGGTAATATAGACTCTACGGCAACTGACCGCTAAGTGAGCGGCGAGCCGATTATGGGCGAGCCGAAACAGCTGGTATTTATACACGCCGACACAACCACTCCCCACCAAAGTAGCGAGTGACCGCGCCGCGCGATATTAAACCTGCAACTAATTGTTATGACTAATTTTTTTTAAATATTATTATTATATTGTTTTTTATATTGATGTTATTATAGTTATTTATTATTATTAATTTTATAATTATTATTAAAGATTAGCCTTAAAGATGTTTAACAAAGCTAATTAGAAACATTTGTTTGTTCATTCAGCAGTGCATTGTTACCATTATTATTTTTTAAAATCTCCAACTGTTCCAGCACACACAGCCGCAGCCCCTTACTACAAGTATGTAAGACTTCAAAGGAATGGTCGCTGGCTAGGTTGTGTCCAGTGTCCAAGAGATGTTTAGCAAAATGGGATTTATCAGGATTGCAATTTCTGTACGCGGCCAAATGCTCTTGTTAGCGCTTCCCGAAATTGCGACCAGTCTGACCCACGTAAACGGCGTGGCATTTGTCACAAACAAGTTTAAATAAACACCCGATTTTTGGCTAATATTTAATTGATAGAATCAGGCGTTACTTTGCGGAAATCCATTATAATAAAAAATAAAATATAAATTTCTTTGCAACCTTCCGCTAAATAAATACAATGATGTGTCTTACCTGGATTGAAGAGCACCTCCCGCCCTCCCTCAATTGCATGCACTAACTCCGTAACCACTAGTCCCAGCACCACTACTCCCAACACCACTATTCCAGGTAAGACACACCATCGACGATAATACGACACGTGTTTCGCCTCTACACGAGGCATCTTCAGGTAATGTAGACTCTACGGCAGCTGACCGCTAAATCTTAGGACTCACACTCACCTCTTTAGAAATTGTTGGGATTTTGTACATTTTGAATTAAAATCCAATAAAACGCAGGTGGATGCTGCTTATTCTCGGAAACATGTTACACGAATATTTTTTAATTATTTTGGAATATCATGTTAAAAATTCAGTTAGTTTTTGAAGCTATTTAGTTTCGTGTATTAACTAGTTTTTTAATCTTTTTACCTCTTTGTTAACAATCATTTTTCGATAGTGCTCGTTAGTAAAATGTGCATCCCTGGCTAACGCATATAATGGCAAATCACAATTAGTCACTAGTTTTTGGGCTGTCAGGTCGTCTATACGTAAGGGAACACATCACTTGATTTCATCTCGCTGGTGTCTTATAAGGTGGCTATAGGAAATACCAGAAAAATCTTATAGCTGGCGGTATAAGTACGTCTCGTTTACGGTAGGTAAAGTAAAGCCTATCCGTGTTTCGGCTGTCTTCTATTTTCCTGTTAAAATCTTTAGTTTTGACGCTACATAACATAGAGTACACGATCGGGCACACGTTTGAGATTGGACGCTTCAAACTTTGCGTAGTGCTACCTGCTAACACAAGAAATCCTTTTATTTAACTAAGATTATGATTTTGTGCAACGAGTTTTTTGATGCGTTAGAGACTTTCTACGTCAAATACTGGGATATTTGGGATTATAATTGGGATGGGATGCGGTCTTTCTTTGCATCCTACCCTTGGGGGCGGGTTTGCTTCTCGCCGGATGATCCCAACGTTGTTGCGGATTCTGTTGCTGATGTGGTACTTCAGGGTATGGAACTTTTTATTCCTTCCTCTGTGGTGCCCATTGGAGGCAAGTCTCAGCCATGGTTTGGTCGCTCCTGTAAAATAGCATCATGCTATAAGCAGGAGTGCTACCAAGCCTGGGCTGATGCATCAGCGTCCCGGGATGTAAACACCAGCGCTCTAAAAAAAGAAGTATAATTCCGCCTCTAGGTCCTTTAAAAGAGTCATTGCCAAGGCAAAGTCAGAGCACATAGGCAGAATTGGCGAGAAACTAGTTCGCCTTCCTTCTGGAACCCGTGCATTCTGGTCTCTCGCCAAGGCTGTCCAGGGGAATTTCTGTCAGCCATCTCTTCCATCTCTGCACAGGGAGGACGACTCACTGGC